ATATATACTTTAGAGGATGGTTAATCAAGGAATAAAAGTAGATTAAACATCTATTTTGATCCTTAGAGTTGTAAGGTGTTATCATATTAATTTCTAAAACTAATAAACAATAAAATTAGTCAATGAAATTATAAATTTACAATCACATTAATTAGTCAAAAACTAAAAAGAAATTATGATTAAAGTGATAATATTAATATATATTCAAAGATTAAAATATAATAGTTAATAGTTAAATTTAAGGACTAATTTGAGATTTTAGTGACTAATTTTACAGTTTCTAAGTTTCTAGGTAACATGACAATGCATTAGTTTAAAGTAGATATTTATTCAATAAAGTTATTTCTAGGAAATCAAATATTTATGACAATATTAATTATAAATATAAAAAAGAGATATTCTAAATCTTATAAGTAAAAGATTTTGTTTCTATGATAATTAAATTTAATTAATTATTTATTTTAATATGGGAAATGTAATATCTCGAACACATTGAAATGAGATAGATTTATATTTTATAAGTTATATAGTTGGGATGACTTAAAGGGATTAATTAGTATTTACTTGTATCAATAAGATGCATATATTTTTTTGTAAGTTCTATGATTTTCTAATACATCAATTATATAAAATTAAAGGATCTTTGAAATTCATGATACTCACATAATAATAAGAATATGTGTACCTTTCTCCATAATGAAAATCTCCTTTGATCCTTAGAGTGCTTTGATCTTCTTGAGAAAAGAACCAAGATTTCATTCCCTTTGACTTTTCTTTCTACTCTCTCCATCTTTCGTAATGGCTAGGGTTTGAGAGAATACTTTCTGTCAACGGTGTGGACCTTGTCTCACATTAGTTAATATTTATAACTCCTAAAGATTGTTATTCCCATCAAATAATAATTATTCTTATAACTTCTCCATTAAACCTATTTATGATTTAGTCTTTAATTATTTAATTGTTTATTTATTAGTCCCTTTATATATCACATATTTCCCACATGAGACATAATTATCTTACATTTTTTAATAGTTCATTGTTTAAGAACTTCATAGTTAAGCATGTTTAGCTTTGAGCAATTTAGTGTTGAGTGACCTTTTGTGAAGATTCCTAGAAGGTGTGTGAGTAAGGACAAAACATCTTAAAAAGACGTGTTATTTTATGAGGACAATCATTGATCCTAAAAGTGACTGAACATCTCAAACATGACTAACCATAGAGAGTTCTGATCAGTGAATGATTCTTACCAAAGAGAAGTTGAACAAAGTGTTATCGCATGAAGTGATGTGGAGTACAACTATTGAGATGTTAAATCTGAAGGGTGTTACAAATGATATCAGAATAGGTTTTCTATGTTGAATCCTACCTAAAACATAGTTTTAATAATGAGAAATTCTTAGTTTCAAATTTTAGAATAAGAGTTCTCAATTGTGTGCTAATAAATTTGTTCAAGTGTTTTAGCAATATTTAAATCTGATTAGAAGACTTATATGTCCCAAGTAAGAAGATGAGCATCCTGTGTTTCTAATTTAGAAAGATTCAAGTTAAACATTTATTCTTAGGAGAAATATCTTGAAGACCTTGTTCAAAAGACCAACACTTTGGTTTGTGTATTTGAAGGCTTCAATTAAAATACATCTTCTCAAAAGACTTGTACTGAAGATTTTGTACTTATTTATTTAACTTACTTAATTGTACTTATTTTTGTACTTCTCAATTGTGTGCTAATAAATCTTATCTTTGTACTTATTTATTTAACTTATTGCATTCATTCTTACATTGCTCATAAATTGAATCACAAATAAGTACACTTAGAAACTGTTAATACACTAAGGTTCATTACTTAGAAGAATAGTCTTCTAAAGAACAAATTTCCATGAAAGAAACAATCTTAATAAGATAACAATTCAAACCCGTTCTTTAATGTAAAATTTAGTTAAATTGGTATCAAATCTTGGTTCTTAGAGTTAAGCAAACTTAACAATGTAGGAGAAAAAATCCTAAAGAAGTGATGGTTGTGCAACTCCCAACTATGTTCATTCTAGATAGGGCTTCAACAAATAGACCTCCAAGCTTTGATGAAAAAGATTAATACTACTAGAGAGATAGAATGAAGCTATTCAATATGTGAATTTGGTAGAAATAATAAAAGAAGGACCATATATACCTAGGAAGACACTAGACATAGGAGCCATTAAAATGCCCTTCTCATAATTCTTCTTAGTTATAGGATTCACTTTTGTAAAAATGATTTTGTTTTTACAAAATCAAGTTAATATAAACCAAGTTATTTGTCGAGCAATATTTATATCCCTATTACAAAATTTGAAATTTTTATACAAATTTTATTTTAAAATTCATGTCATTTATAATTTAAATTTTGAAACAATACCAGGAAAAAAAAACACACCATAGTTAGATATATTTATACAAAAAGTGATTTTTGGTACATCAAAATCATATATAACTTAATATGACATCTAGATGAAGGAAAAAGTCTTATTTTAATACAAATTTTTCTTTTTTACTTATACTAATAGATTCACATCCCAGGTTGACATATATTTATTATAGGATTGACATGGTTAGTAGGGGTAGGTAGTATGTGACCACCATAAGACCATCAATATATATCGGAACTTGTTGATTTGGTGAAAATACGAAGGAAGATAATTCAATGCCTTGGAACGTCACTAAATTTTCAATAGCATCTATAATTCAACTTGTACTAGGAAATACAGTCGAAGTAATCATAGTGAAAGGTGGTAGATCCATCTCTTTAAGATTTTAAAAGATACATACATATAATTAAGAATAATAAAACAAGAAACACAAAAGAAAGGAGTGAGAACATTTATCAAATAATAAAATTAATTAAATAAGAATACATATAAATATTTGCATATCATTATTAATCACAAATTTAAATTTTTTACTCCATAGAGGGATTTGAATTGTTTTTGTAGTGATTAGTCAGGATAAATGAGCTTAATCATGGTATCAAATAATACAAGGATATTTCACCTTAAGCATTTATTCATTTAAATCTCCAAGATTAAACCTCTAACTACAAATTAATAATTTATTAAAAATTAAAATTTACATTTATTACTATTTAAAGACATAAATATATATATATATATAATCAATTAAATAATAGCAACTAAATAATAACGTTAAAAAATATATTTAAACTGTATAAATGATAGTTAAGATTAACAACAAATAATTAAATAAAATAAATTATAAATATCTCATTAATTAATTAAAAATTAACATATATTAAACAAGTAAGATGAAATTAGAAATACCTTATCAAATAAATATATAGATAAAAATAATATACAATAAAAAATTAAAATAATATAAAAACTTAAAAGAGATAAAAATTTCATCCCCACACCTTAATATTTGAAGCAATACTAGGAACAAAATTTAGGAACTTTGAAAATAGCTAAATACATAAGCCCAATTTTTTTCTACTTCACTCGGTTTTCTCACGTTCACCTTTGATCACCTTTTCTAGTATATCCGTTTTGTGCTTCCATTTGCAGGTCTGGTGATACCTATAATATAGGCCAATTCGTCATCATTACAGTTAGTTAATATTT